TTATTACAACACACCTCAGCAGATTTAAGTGCATTTCTTATATTCCTCAGATTATGAGAATGACAACTTTTTCATCACATTTTAGTTTCTTTTGTGTACGTCTGTATGTACCGGATGCTAAAATCAGTAAGCAAAGAGCTGAGGCGTTTGAATCCCCGGGAAACTACTGGGGTTTGGGTTCCTGCATCACACCGTGAAAGCCACGCTTCCAACTGGAAGCCAATACATTAGAAATCTGAAAGACGGACTCTCATTTCTTCTGTTGTACGACTTTTCCCAATGCACCATTAAACGTGATAAAGAAACTATGCAGAAATCTTCCGAGTCGCTCTGATTGTAGCAATCCAAATGCAGCAGCTCTGCAGTACCGAGCGCGTAGCTTCATGAAGGCACCTGCTGCCAGAGCAAAGCTAGGCTTCTCTGAAAGTTACCGTCAGGCTTGGTCCAAAATGAAGCTCTTGGACCTCAAAAGCCAAGTTTCCCCCTTTGACGTTGTCACGGTTGAAGCAATTTTGTCTATTTTTCTTTTCTTTTCTATTCCTACTTCTTTTTAGGAACTACACGAACTCTGCTCGAAGGGTTTACAACTCAGGTGTTGCCTTAGCACATGAGGAGCTGATTCGAAGGCCGTTAAAATCCATGGAGGATCTCACCCCTCTCCTGTGAGCTAAAAATCCCTTCGGCATTATCAAATGGTGAGCAGTAAGATACCAACTGATTGACAACAGGATGAACTGTCCTGTGTGAGAAAAATCTGAAATGAGATGGACTGCAAATATGTCGCAAGTTCCCCAGTCGTCTTTCATTAAAAAAGCTGTTGCTTACAAGCTGCAGCAAATAAGAGCAATTAAAGATACTGAATTTGATTCATGTAATCGAATACACGGTTTTTACCCTGGCAGTGCCTGTTTAACTGTGAGTGATGACGATGTTTTGTTAGTAATCATGCAAATTAGGATCAGTTTAATATTTTGAGGAATTCACATGAGAAGGAAATACTTGTCTGCGGAGCTTATGCTGTAGGACTCGGTCCTTAACATGCAATTTCGAATGCACGTATTTCCCCCAAACCCTTTAATTTGGTTATCTCATTTCTCAGGTTCTTCCGTATCACTGCCCCGTGCTTCTCATCATGCCTCAAAGCCAAACTGAGGAGAGAAACACTTACCAAGAAAGTGAGGAGAAGCCTCGTCTTCTTGGATAAACACATGTCGAGCACCAGGAGGGATATCAAACATCTTAAGGTACCCTTTGGCATGTGTAGCAGTCAACGGAGAAAGCAGAGGTGGAAAGAAAAAGTAACAGCCGTGGTTAGGCGTCATCCCGCTTCTACTTGCAGAAGAGCGCATCCATCGTCGACTGAGACGCGGTGTCAGAAAGAAACCGAGCAAATAGGTTTGTCACGTATTTGACAGGACCTCCTTGTGCTTGTCCTCTTCCGGAGAGGGAAGAGAAACCCCTTACAAACCTATTTGTCGCTTGACTAGCTACACTGCTATAGGCCGTATCGATTAACAATTCAGGCAAAAATATGTTTCCTGTGCTCCTGAGCGTACCAGGGGAAAAACGCAAGTCTTCCTCGTTATTTTCTCCCAGTCGCTCATCAGCCAGGCGGTTAGGTTTGAGTTCACTTACGGTCGTGCGAGATGCTAATGTCTTAAGTGCGTCTGCTTACTTCGGAGACACCAAAGACTGACGAAAGGTGGGCGTAGTACAGAGCGTATTGTCGCTACGCATCCGAAAAGGCGTTTCTGTATGCAAGTTAACCCAAACTGTTTACAACTGCGAACGTAAAATGCATCAATTAAATTGCTGCTGCTGAAGTGACGGGGCTGATTTCAACCCTCTACGGCTAAAAGTAAAGAGCTGTTCCCAAAGAATACGATTCTTATTTTAAACTTCAATTATCTATCGGTCCAAACCACAGGTAATCAGCGTAACATTAATGAAGTACTGTCATTAAGGAGACTAAAATCCATCCCAGGGACCTGTCAACAGGTACTGCTATATGAAGCTTGAAACAAAGGCATCGTAAGCACTCTGAGTACCTGGTATTTTCATAGTTCTATTATTTTCTCTTTAACAACTGGAGATATAATTATGATAAATCTCTGTAGATCCCTTTTGTGAGTAAATTACTGTTTTGTACTCTGCTACGCAATCTTCCCGAGTAACCCAGCCCTGCTATCGAAGCTGTCTGGATGTGACAAGAGTTTTATCCTTTGTGCATTGCAAACACAAGACGCAGTTTCATCCTGGGGATTCTGGGGCTAACGAATGCATCGGTGACTTCTCACGCACCTGACGTACTACAGCTCCCTGGAAAATCTAAGTGAAGACAAAGATGAGCTACGAATACGTAACGTCACGGTCTTGGCTGACGAGTGACTGCGCAAACAGCATTTGCCAATCTTTTCATCGATCGTCTTTTGAGCACATGAAACATAAAGCTTTTGCCTGATTTGGCGTTGCCTATCCACGTCCGAACGGAGACGGGAGCTGCGGCGAGAAGCCTCGAGTTGCCGTGGATGCCTCTCTCTGCAAGTGCCTCCAACTTACCCAGCGTATTTTTAGACTCCTTTGTTTCAGAAAGGGAAATATTGCGAGCTCCTTTGGGCAATGTAAACGCTCCTCTTGTCTTCCCTTAAACAGAACGTCTGTAATTAGTGCTATGGGAGCCAGGTCTTCTTTCATTGACTACGTTTGTCAGCCAGATGGTCTTCACGAGCGTAAAGTATAAATTACGTTACGTGTTCAAATGCACTTAAAGCAGAATCAGACACATCTAGCAAGCGCTAATAGCCAATGAAAGTCAGACCAGTGAAAATTCAGGTAGGTGATTTTAAGTTGGATACTTGCAGATTTCATTTTCCAGAAACTTGAATTCTTTTTGGCACCTCTTGCTTAAATGTTTTCCTGTTGGAAGAGGTCAATTAGTCTTTTTAATGACTAGCTTGCCAAAGTTAGGGTAAAACAACCAACATTTCAGAAACACTTCTATCACTTTCATAAACATTTGCAAACAAGGGGCTGATTAACAGCCTGGACTTGAACTACCTCCTAGCCCTGCCTGTCACTTGGCGCTGTCGTGCTTTGCAGACGCTGAAAATACTGTGCAAACGTTCAAGCGCGTGCCGTCGCCCCGTCAGACAAGGCAGCAGGTCTCGGTGGCCCGCAGGCAGAAACGCTGAGCCAGAGCCTGGTGGGCTCAGTAGCGTATTTTGGCCTCTGCTGGCCTCTCATTTGCCCTGTTCATCTCCTGGGGTTTGCCTAAGCCAAACCACAGGCTTCGGCAGTACGGGGACTGCGCGCTAGGAGCTGCAAACCATCGGTACAGGCAACAGAAACCAGGCGCGTTGTTGGACGGGATCCGGAGTTGTGACATGAAAATCCTCTCTGCCCCCAAAATTCCAATCGTTTTCTTAGTGAAAAAATCAGAAATGCTCTTAGAAGGCCGAGCACTTATTTCTGTTGATTGCTTTTTTTTCTTTTTTTTTAAAAGAAAAGCACAGTAGCTGCCAGCTCCAGAAATACCCAGGCTTATGTATGAGGCTCAAGTCATAGCCCTAAGTCCATTACTGCCAAAGCGTTAATGATTCTTGCATTATTCCGCGCCCAACCCATCAGCCTCCAGGGAACCATCCCTTTCAGAAAGGCTCTCTACTGTAATTTGATAATTACAACCGATAAACTTCTCCAATTGGTTTGTAATAATTAATAAGTATTTTCAGCAGAATATTTTTATGTATTTTATTTCCAGTCGCACATTAACTTATCTTTGTCCATGTTTAGCTTGGCTGCTCACTGTCCAAATTTCATTATTAATGCTGCTTCACGGCAGCACTGACCAGCCTCTAAACGGTTAATGCAGATATTCACATTATCTGTCCCTTAGCCTTTCTCCGCTCTGTATTAAAACACTTAGCTCTATCAGACAGCTCTCCCTGAAATAACTGCTCCCGGTCATACAGGAGATATATTTCCCTGAGCAGCTTCCCCAGACTGGAAAAAAAAAAAAAGCAATCCAGGAAAGCCTTAAAATACAAAATAGTCACAGCAAATGTACAAGTTAATACTGCCCTGGCTTAACAAATAACCGATGAAATGGAAATTTCTGAAGAAGTCCAAGGAGATCTTGAGTTGTTATTGCTATGAACTGTGTTGCAAAATACCCCAGAGCGCAGTCTCAAAATTTTAACCGGGCCGTTCTCCGTTCTGAGCGAGCAGAACGCTACCATGGGTTCCCCTGGATCTCGGTCGCACAACTTAAAGGATATGAGAACTGAGGACTCCTGCCAAAACATTTTTATATTTGGTTCAGAATTCAGCCGAATCTATTTTTAATTCATCTATTTGACTAAAGGGCTGTAATTGGCAAGAAAGCATCATAAACAACCAACGTTACACGAGGATCCCTACGCTCGCTTCATACGCACAGAAATTCAGACTTCCATTTAAAACTCCTGAGTTTAGGATTGAGAGGAAAAACTTGTGAAAAGCTTCATCTTTAACGGGAGAAAAAACCGTTTCCTTTACTCCTCCTACAGAGAGAGGCACGCTATGCTTAGTGTCAGGCAAAGTATCTCGATTTCTGCACTTCCCTGTGAGAAGAACAGCTTGGTCTTGTTGAGCAAAACTGAGTGTATCCCCACTTAGCACAAGCGTTGTCTGGCTGCGCTTCGACATTTACAAAGACGAACTAAAGATGCTCTGCATGGGGAGTATTTCTCAATACGCTTCACCGATCAAGCTTTCTTCTAAGAGGTCCTTCAAAGGACAGAAATGCTACGCTGCTTTGAAGATTTCTTTATCAGGTACTAAACCGTTTTTGCACATAGCTTACACCTTGTGTTTTGCTACCTTAAAGCAGGCTGCATTTCTGACCGGTCTGCAAAAGCGCCAAGTATGATAGAAACACCAGAGACAAGAGAAACTATATGGAGATGCATGAAAATGGTCTTCCTACCAAGTTTCTTGGGAGTGCGGGTGAAGGTTCCCTTCACGGTCCGGCAATGAGAGTTATCCCCACCGCAGACGCCGCACTTATCTTCAACCTTATTGGAGCCAATTTCCTTGTCGCAACCCACTTTCTGCAAAAGAAAGAGCAAAAAAAGAAAAAAAGAGAAGGCTTTGTCATGGGGTGTCAGTTTTAGTTATGGTGGGAAGCCATCGCAAAATTAACGCACAGAGGAACATACCACCCAATGCTGATCTATTTTATTTAAACACAGATTACTTGCAAATCTGGTGCTGGATAATGGTTTTCATGTGAAAAAGAGAAGCTATTCTTGCTTTATATATTCACTGTACTTCAAGACTAAGAAAGATGGGAAAGACAGAAAAATAGACACGATTCTTTTCAGACGTGAAACTAAGTGCAAAAAAGGTGAAGGAAATGATCAGCTGAAGAGGAGTATTTCCACGCATTGCTCTCATTTATTTTAAATTTCAAGGAATTATGAGGAACATGATGCTGCAAATATTGAATCGAGAAACATCTGCAAAGTCTATCTCTGCGCCGTTGACCGAGTTGTTCTGATGGACTCTCACCAGAGCCGTTGCGCAACACGGCGCAGCTCAAACTCAACGCTGCCCTTGGGAAGCTGCCACTCACCACGCATTCCCCGCGAACGCAAATGCTGTAGGGATCTTTATAGGAACAGCGAGTCCCGTCGTGCGCCAGCTGTTTCATATAGGCGACATCTCCGGATTCTTTGGATTGGCAGTACAGATGACATCTCTTATTAGCTGCGGAGCAAGGAAAGAGGAGAAACTGCATAAATTAACAGCAATCCACATGTGTTTCAGAAAAATATCCCACTAAAGGAGCGAAGAGAATATGACAGAGATAGAAAGGACCTTGAACAGACAGCTGTGGAGAGAAAAAAGGCAATGAACTTGCTTTTTTGTGAATTATAGGCCTATCGCTTTGAGATGTTCTCACAGAAATCAGTTGCCTGCTAAAGAGGCTCCCGGGACAGGGTTCTCGACTATCCTGAAAGCAGCTTTCACTCCGATCCCAGGGAGAACGGGGCTGAGTTTACAAAACCACAATGATGCAGAAAAACGACAGCAGAAAAAGGAGTCTGTGAGAAGATGGTGCTAAAGCCAGGTGAAAAGGACAGGGGATTTGGATCTCTAACTTTCTTTATCCTTTTTGGAAAATACCAGCTGAACACATATTTCCCGGCTGACGCCTGAATCTAACTCCTTAGCCACGTGTAAAGGGTATCTCAGGAGATACCCGCGGAAGAAACGCCAGCAACTCCGCAACGCCTTCCGGCGAACTAGGAATCTGCCCTTGTGCTTGAAGCTATCCTTGTCACCCAAGGTAATTACTGGGCGAGATTCATGTTAGCAGTGAAGACTGATGGCATGAGGCCGGGGCAGGTGGATCTGTAAGAGTGGGAAAACACTAAGAAGGACTTCTCAAGTAGTGCCATTACAAAAACGCCGTTAATACTCGGAGCAGCTGCGATCGAAGGTAGGCCCTTTACAGCCAGGCAGACTAAGAGCTGCACAGGAGAGAGGGGAGGAAGGGTTCTTCAGGCCCCAGCCACCAGCTTCCCACGCTTTGCCCCGACAGCAGAGTGCCAGAGCTTGACAGCCCGGTCCAGCAAATCCTACCAGCACCCACCAGCTATTCCAGCCGGAGGCGAGAGCCTCTTGCCACATCATATTCTCACTAAGAGGAGGACAAAAGCCAGGGGAAGCTAGCTGGCCTGGGGAAATGACAACTCTCTGGCACGGCACCTCTTCTTTGCTGCTGAGGCCACCCGTTTTTCCCACTTTTTAGTCTCACCTACGCTCGCTCGCACACCGATTATTCCTGGTCTCTGCATGGCTGATGAACAAGACCCCCGCAAGCTCTGGGAGATGCCGGGATTGACTTGCAATCAAGGCAAATAACCGAACTTACAGTCTGGGTGTTCGTACGGCAGCCAGTGGTGCTTGCTGTTCTGAAACTCAAAGTGGGAATTGCGCTGCTGACACTGCTGTGCTCTGAAGTCCTCAAAGTGCTTCGGACACTCCTCCGTGTTGCAAAGCTGAAACTCAAAATTGACACCAGCACAGTCTTCACCTCCGTTAATGGGCCTGCGAAGAGGAAACAGTCAAGAAACGCTCAAACCCTCTGGACGTTAGCTCTGGGGATTTTTCTGTCTTCGGTGCAATTTCACACTCTATTTTAAGGGACGATTTTGTAAAGCAATGGAAACAGCAGTCACGCCGCACGGCTACGCGCTTGCAGTATAACCTCTGTGCTTGCCCATGCATCCCCGAGGCATATGCTGAAATGCAGACGTAATACACGTGCACATATATGCTGCCAATAGCCGATTTACAATTAGAGATTATCTAAGATAGATAATTTACAATTCGAGATTATCTATCCTGCAGCTTGCTGAGCTCACGCGCTATGTACTCTTCACTCTCTTACACATCAGCTACATCCCCGGGATGGTTTTCCAGAGGCTTCCCTCTGGAAATTCTTGGATTCTCCAAAAATGACCCTGGCTCCCTGCAAAAAGCCATTATTTCCAGGGGCTTGAACCGAATGTGAATTTTGGCAGACTCGATCCAAAATGTAAATGCCATTTAAGCTGCCAGCTGTAACGACTCCCGGTTGACTGGAACTACCGCCTCGCCAGACCACCTACATTGGATTGTTGCACTGGCGCGTTCGAAAGCGAACTCCGGTTCCGCAGGTTCGCGAGCAGGAGCCAAATTTTGTCCAGGGTCCCCAGTTGCCATCCTGCTTCAGCTGGTTAGCATTCTTCCACATGCAGTGACCTTTATAGCACCACTGAGAGAAATCGGGCAGGGAAAACAGATGAGAAGAGAAACAAAACCCAAACCGAATGGATAATCGCGGTAAAATTAAAAGCACGCAGAGGTGAGCTCACGGGCTGAGAAGGGACGTCTTAGAGAAGAGACTGCAAGCAGAGACTTTCCTGGGGATGAGGTCTACGTACCGTGGGCCCAGGAGCACCCGCTCCCTGAAGGCGGTCGGCTCCGTGGCCGAGCAGGCAGCACCGCCGAACCCCAGCCGCAACCCTTCCGCGCGCAGACACACGAAGCTCAACACATTCCACCCTCCTCTTCGCTTAATTTAAGTCAGCCTTTGTTTCATTTGAGTCGCTACCACCTTTTTGAAGGAATTTTCATGTTCTGAATATAAGCAGGATAACGTTTTTGCGGAGAATTAGATGTTTTTTTTCTTTTTTTTCCTCATACCGGCCAAATCTCACACTTATGCAAACAGGCTGGAACAGAGGGCTAGTCACTGGGCAGGGTGGTGTTTTGCTGGCTAGGGCACACTCAGATGGTGTAAGTGGCTCTCCTGTATCTCGAAATACATGGAATTTGCTAAACAAACATTTATTTGCGTATAATTTTATAATTAAAAATGAATTAGCAGCAGGACACCCACTAACGGGGATATTAAAAGGGAAAAATAAAGAGCTAATCCTAAGCCTGCACAAACATTTAGCCACAGTATGTCTGGACCACAAGCACTAAGAAGCAATCCTACAGTAACGGCATTATCTGCTGCCGTGGATTCCTAAAGACATTTTACGGACACTCCGCAGATGAGATGAGAATCCAAAAAAACATAACAAAAAGGCCACAGAAGAGGCTGAGAGTGGGTTACACGTCAACTGGGGTTTCTGTGTCCAAAACGCACTTCGTACTACGGCAAACCTTGTACAGTTCACAAGAAGAGCAGACCGGGAAAGCGCAGCTCCCTCTTTTCCCTTCCTCCAGCTCCACCCAGGGGATGCTGGGCAATTCCCTGCTTTCCTCTGTGCCCTTCAACCCAAACGAATGCAACTGTTGGTTTTTTTTTTTTTTCTAATACAAACATAGCAAAACCACAATACTCACTTTTCCAGGGGCACATTCTGTCCCATCGAGCGGAGGTCCTTTCTTAGTCTTACAGAAATACGGGTTATCCGGATGGCTACACCACAACTGCTTGCACGGGTCAAAGGTTCGGAACTGCAACGCAGAACATTGAGGAGATGTAACTCAACGTTAGATTATTAATTCTTTTCAGATAAGGATTCAACCCACCCAGTCAATTCATCTCACACACGCGGCTACCAATAAGTACAGTATCTTCAGAAAGAAAAGGGCAAAAACATCTTCAGAGAGAAAAGGGCAGTGCTTATTCCCTGCATCCCCTAGTCCTCAGCTGGTGAGAAGAGGAAAGGAGGAGAAACCCACAAGTGGGAGGAAAATGAGGATTTTTCCCCCTTCTTCCTTGGGATCCTGACCACAAGTCTGTGTCACGTGGACCGTGCTGCCACCCGCTTTGACCATGAAACCAAATGACCCAGATTTATGGGTTTCACCCATAAATATCTCTCTCCTCTTTACAGATCTGTTCAACTGCTCTTCAATTATGAGAAAGTGCGCGTATTGCAGCTCTTTAATAAGGCCAGACCCCAACTTGCTGAATGAACGTTTGTCTTTGCAACGGCTGCCCGGGACATACCGCTGTGCACATTTTATAGCCAACGCCAAAATCAAAGCGGCACTGTTCGTCCATGGAATAATTGATGCCTGGCAGCTCAGGAAGCTTGGGCCAATCATGTTCGAAAGGGTCGTCAAGAAGACAGTCGTAAGAGCTGTGGAAAGACACACAGAAAAAAATAATCATGGGAAGATGGAGTGATTTTTTTTTTTTTTGATCAGCAAGATCAAAGTACTTAATCGTAGTAAGGCAATACTCCTTTTCTCCGCCTTCTTTTCTGCCTGTTTACATAGCTATTGCTCCCCAAAGCACAGCCAGTCCCTTCTGCAGGAATATGGCCCAGCGCAACATGACCGAGCACTGGATGGGAAGATCCTACAGCAAAATCCCCGCGTTTGCGGCAGCCTGTGGAGAGGCATCTCCGGCCCTTCCCTGCCCTAGCATACATGCAAAATTTGCGCTTTACTTCCCTGGCACCAGAGGCAGAAAACAAACCCTCCTCCGCTCCCAGCGCCAAAGGGCAACATCTCGATGTGCTTCGACCGGGAGTACGAGTCCTAATGTAAGGCCGAACACAAAGCCCGCCGTAGTCAGAGGGAGTCCTGCCACTGACTTTATGGAGCTTTGCAAGGGGACGGTAGTCTGAGAACAGGCCTTCTTACCGGACATCGACTGTAGTCACAGGGGTGAAGCCCTGCCCATGCAAAGGGCAAGAATCAGGCTTGATTTTTCTCATTCCTGTTTAACTCTGATATCTTAAAATAGCGATACTGGTGGGCTGCTCCTCCTGCAGTGGGCTATTTCACTTTAAGCTCTAAGGGCTCAATCAGTTACTATTTTATGCTTTATGTTACGAATAGGGTTTCTCCTGTAGGAGACGTGGGTCAGCTCATTAAGTTTTCGCTCGGTTTTGACTGGCAAAACCAGCTATTTGCAATGGAGAAGGAAGCCTGAGCACCAGCGGGATGAAGAGGTCCATACACGGAGGGAGACTAGAGCCAGCGGGGTGGAGATCTCTTCTCCTTTACTCCCTAATTCAGGCACACGGACGCATGCCGCCTTCTCTCTTCCACAAGTTTTGCTAGTTCCTTTTCTGAATTTAGAGCCTCCTCCTGCCAGTTTCACAGCGTAACTCCTAGAGAAATCAAAAACCTAGGGAGAACACCAGCTGCCTGCCGTAAAGTCCTGCTGCCATCCCCCGGAGGATGCAATGGCTTTGGGTACAGCCCGAAGCGAGGAAGCATTCCTCCTAGTTTATAGCTTTTTTAATATAGATTTGAAGGGAAAAAAGAGTATGGCAAAAAAGGACGATGAGAAAACCACTCCACCGGAGGAGGCCACAGGTGGAGACGGCGGTGCCTCGCTGCCATCGCGCTGAAGCACGGAGCGGCTCGCTGGAATGCCTCCGAAGGCCGAACCCCTGCCGGGAAGCAGGGAGCAGGCCACCCCAGAGGGTCCCATTCCTCAGCACCTCTGAGGCCCCAGTACTGCCGCGTTTAGAAAAAGGGCTGCCGCAGTCAAGGGTCCTGTTACGACACTTGTGCCTGCTCCCTCACGCTGGGACTGCCTCGCCTCTTCTCTTCGCGGTCTAGCAGAGGGCGGCACGCTGGCCCCACATCCCAGGAACTGCAAAGACTTCTGTTTCCTTTTAGTTTTAGTTTAGGAAACTTTTAGTTTCCTAAAACAACGACCGGCGAGGGCTGGCAGGTCCTTACTGTATGTATCTTTTGAGTTCTTGGCCGCTGCACCTGGACCAGTGGTAGCGATGGAAGGCAGCCTGCACCAGGGGAGCCATGACACTGCCCATCGCTGTCTCATCCCCGCATCTGTTCCCTTGCCCATCGTGCTCCATTCCCAGCCTGTAACAAAGAATCGGTATCAGAGCCCAGGCAGTTTCCGCTCTTCGACTGGTAAAACAACTGTAAAGAAAACAGTTTCTCATGCACGTGTAATCACGCAAAATCTTTGCATTCTACGGATATAACCTTCCTTTCAAACTGGTCGTCTTTGATGCCAAGACATAAGGACTCTCTGAATACTCTTTCATTTATACTTTTTTTTATTTGTTAATTCCAGGAATGAACTAACTAGATGACGACGACTTCTTATGCTTCGGATGAAGGAAAACAACAATTCCGCTCGTTAGGGAGCAGTTCATTCCGACATCGAATTGTACACATTTGTATACTCATTTATCGAAACCACAAAACTAACATAGTTATCACGTTGCACCTCCAAAGAGCTAACACCGTTAGCATGCTACACCTCCAAGCACGCACCTGGTACAGCTTAATAGGGAAGTGACCTGGTCATCTTCATTTGGGCTACATTCTGCCCAGTGAGCAGCACAAGTAGCCCGCACTACTCAAGGAAGACAAAAATCGGATCCTCAGTGCTTGACGTTAATTCACCCAGACGGCTAACAGAGACCTTGGCTTAATGAGTTACTCCCAACTTAACAGTTTATCATTCTTGAGGAGGTGCCAAATCTGACAAATCAGCGCTTTCAGTCAATGAGGAGGAAGAAGTTAAGGATGCTTGACAGGCTCCTGTCTCCGGGAGCCTTCCAGGTTTCTTACTGACCTCCTCCCACCCTAGAGAGAACAAGTTCCCCCTCCCTCTTCCCCTTCCTTTCTTCCCCCACTTCTCCCTTCATTGCTTAAACCCCTGATGCATTCCAAGGGGATGGAAATAAAACTAGGATAGCTTTCATATAGCCATTAAAACTAAAGCACTTGAAGCAAGCGGGAGAGGCAGCACCACATTTCGTTGGCAATCTAACTGCAAAAGTTAGACTTACACGTGACCAGTTTCATGAGCAACCACAAAAGCTGACGAAAACCCGTCCTCATGGTTGAGAGTACAGCTTCGGACTGGGTGACACATGCCAGTTACAGGAGCATATCCTATTGAGAGAAATCGTGGCTGATTCTTTTACCCAGTACATTTATTTTAAACAAGACCCCCCCAATAAACTAATTACCTGAGAAGAACCTAGGATTATTTCCTTCCAATTGCCAATTTTTTCCTCTGTCTTTGCAATGGCTGTCAGATAGAATAAATGGCTCTGATTCCACAGACATCTGTGTTACTTCAGGCACTTACCCTGTTACCACCAAAGATGCACGAGATTCCTGTTCAATTAAAAGGCAGAGCTATAGGCTGGGATTTCTTGCATGTGTTCCTATCAGTACCTTCATCTACATACTGCCTGACCTTCATCTGCACACTGCCTGGTGCATATTGCCTGTCTTTTCCTCAGTAAGAGCTAAAATCTTCCTGACGACAGGGAAGCCTGCCTAACATCTCACCCGAACCAGTTTCACTCCAGTCATGCCAGCCCAGACCTGAAGGAGAAGTCGGAGCCTTATCTCCCCCTGAAAGGTGAAGGGAACAGGGAGGTACTGAACACGACTATCTGAGACATCTCCAACTGGACAGCCAAAACACGGTCTCACCCAGACTCTTCTTCATCTGCACTGACACAAATCACACTTTGTGAAGTTAGTTCCTTGAGTCATAAAGATCAATGCAGGTAGCAAAATAGCCGGTACGCTATCCATAAAAAGAAATCTGCAGCGAACGATGCAATAAAAGTGAAGTTGAATGCACAGTGCGTTGAGCGTTCCTGCTCAATGACTCCTGCACACGCACAAACACCTGGTGTTTGAAGACAGCAAAGAGCTCGTTACTTACATCTCTCAAGTAAGAAACTTCATCTGCTACACTTAGATATAAATGGCAAGAACTACCACGGCAAGGTCTACTTGCTTTTTAAGAAGTATGTAAACCGAACGGCAGTACTTGCTCTCCACAGCAGAGCAATGAGTACATGCTCGGGCTGTCCACGTGGGCCTTTTCTAAAGCCAGAAGAGGCAGCTGAACGTTATGATGAGTGTACATGCTTTTCCCAACAGGACCAGGATTACACATCTTTCAAACTGAACACTTCCTTTAGTATTTGCTGAATAAAGACCTACGTTGCTAATTGTCTCAGGATCACAGAACAAAGCAATTTTCAAACTTTCCTCTTTTCTGGCAGATGCTAGCCAAGAAACACCAAGTCCAGATAGTTTTGCTCCAGGTCAGCTGCATTACCTTGCATACCAGCAGGCCCAAAATCTTGCCTGGTTAAGAAGATGGCATGATCGTGGTGCTCAGAGTGACTGGGGTCCGACTTCTGCTGCTGATAAGCCCAGCGGCAAACGTTCTCCAGGCTTCTCGAGGGATTCCCCCTTTCAATCAAGCTAATGGACTGAAAGAGCAACACGTTAGACCCGGGAGCTCCTAAAGGTAGGACATGCAGACAAGTTTTGGTTTTCTTGGAGCACCAACCAGGTCCCCATTCTCTCTTCCTAATACCCTATCACTCTTAAGTCATGACAGTCATCTTTCCTGTGAGAAAAGAAAACGTGTATGTTAACAGTGACCACACACATGTAATAGTACATCTTTAGGGCTTTTTTTGCAGACAGCTGAATGAGCATTCACATCATCTATGGAAATAACCGCCTTTCTGTATATAGCCTGCAACGTGCAGGAGGAACACACAACTTGATGTTAGGATGGAATAAGGGCATTTTGATTTCTTTTGGTGGAACTTGCTTACGTTCTGGACCGCCAGACGACAACGTGACTCAGCTGAGACAAATGAGCACGTAGTGACACGCACAGCCTGCGTGGGGGACGTGAATCATATAAACACCCAGGACAATGCCTCAACTGGCGGAAAACACTGTAGTGCCAGTAAATGTGTACTGATGAACACAGATTAAACATCTGGTCCTGTGAGACTTCTGCTACGGCGTGTGCCTGCAAGCTCAGGACAGTTAATTACAAGATCAACAAATTTGGTCTTTTGACTTGCCCAAATTCAATGGCTGAGTTAAATAGAACAGATAGGATCTTTATCGCACCCTGAACAGCATTAGCGCTCTCCTCTTATCCTGAGCAATTTAACAAGCATTTGTTTCACAACTCTCCGAGTGTATTTTACCTGCAAAATCCACGTACTGCTACAAGTACTGCCCAGGGTACAAAGCGGAGGAGTGTGCTGTGACCCAGTAGCAGGGGTGTACACAAAATGAGAAAAGGAGATGGTTACAGCGGCAGCCTGATCGGAGAGGGTGCACCAGCAAGCTGTGCTGGTCAACCAAGACGATTGCTTCTACTAAACTGATGTCATTCCCGGAGGACTCACGAGGGCAAGAATTCAGGCTGCAAGCCTGAGCCAGTCCTGCGCCTGTGTCACCAAAGGGACGCTCGTGGTCGCCCTCAGGAACGAGGGCAGGAGCACATGGAGCTCATGCCAAGCAGGGAAAGCAGTTCCCTGGAACTAGCTGTTCGGCGGACTTCTGCTTCCGCAACCCTTGACGCGACTCTCAAGGACTGTCATTACAAAGAAGATGAAGGTGGAGAACCGGTTCAGAGGCTCGCTTACCTTGGCGTACCCCAACATGATCATTCGGACCAGCACGACGTTTATGTGAACACCCAGGGATTCATCGTGGTAAATCTCATTCACCTGAACGAAAAAAAAAAAAAAAGGAAAAATTAAAAAGAAAAAACCCTCTGATGATACCAAGGGAACTTCCAAGGCCAGGTGTATGTTATTCCAAGTGCTTGTACCACTACGTGTGGTGGGTACAAGCACTCAGAAGAGTGTTCGAGTCTCAAATAGTTTCCGCGCAGCGAGAAACGCAGATGGCAGTTCCCGTCATCCCGCAACCCCGACGCAGAGCTTTCTGAAGCACGCGTCCAGGCTCCTCTCAAGTTTAACGGCCTTTGGATCAGGGCCAATAGAAAAGGTGACTGGGGGTAAAAAAAGCCTTCAACTTCAAACCCTGCAAATACTTACCTGAACGCTTAATTTCCCTCATTTGACAAACATAATGAGGGAAATGAGGTTATTCCTGAAAGCAAGGTTATAGCAGCGTGTTCAAGTTCACTGAGGGATTGAAAAGCGGACAGAGTTTGCTTTAACAACAGATAAACCCGTCACCATCCCTCCCGCGTGGCCGCCTCTGCTATGCCATCCGGCCACTCCAACTGGGGATAAATTCCAGGTTCTGTTCCTATTTGTTTCATCAACGCTTTGTCTCACTTCAATCGGTTTAAACACACGGGACGAGTATTTTAGTGCGGAGAGCGAGCGAGCGTATTTTTGTTCAATTTTGTAAAAGATCCCGCTGCCAGTAGCTCTCGCTCAAGGAAACGTGCCGTTAACTTCAGCATAGGTTTGCCCTCGGAAAATACTTGAGGATTTGACTTAAAGCCATTTTTGCATTCTGAGGCCCTAGGTTGGGAAGGCAGAATATTTAGACAATGACACGAACGACGAGGCTCCATTTCTGCACACATGGAGGCATGTGTTCGGCTTTAAAGATGAGAATAGTACTCCTGATTCTAAATCCATCTTAAAATTCACGGGCGAAGTGTTTCCAAATCCCAGAAATGCTTCGGAAATTTTCATCTGAAAGTTTCGAAGTCACCAGCGCTGCCAGACACATAAACGCTGTAGTACACCTTACAGCGTAACGCTATCTCCAAATATACTAGACTTCTCCGAGTCAACGCGTTCCGTTAAAAAAAAAATCCCCAGCGGCATGAAAGCACGTAACGTTTACGGGATCTGGAAAGGCTTACTACATTAAAAACAACCGCTGGCCTGAGAAAACACCCGTCCGTAAGACAACCTCATGAGACCCAAGGACTGCAGAAAACACGCAGGAACGGGCAAACTTCAAAGCCCACGGGGAGTCCTCATCAAACAGCCCACGGCTTTGCACCAAATCGGGTCTGCGGAGGTCTCCAGTGAGACCTCTACACATCATTTCGAGGCAGAATTTTGATTCCAGTGCTTTCAGCCTCATTTCCAAAGGAAATAAAGGTCAGATAGTCGCTCCCTCTACTAGTTCTAACGCCCCAATAAATTTTGGCCCCGTTTACCGCTTTCCGGCAACGCTTGCAAAACAATAAAGATCTCAAAGAAATGAAGCATCCAGAAGTTCTGCGAAAATAAGCAGATGATTAGAAATAACAGTCTTATTACTGCTTACAAGGAAGGAAAGACTGCCTATCCTCGGTCACACAGACGGACAGGAGCTCGGAGAACCCTCCCAGCGCAAGAGCAGCTTATGTCCCATTAGGGAGCCCAGCCGCAAGACAGAAATCCAGAGGGAACGCTGCAGTTCCACTGCCCACTCAACAACTGAAATATTTCACCATGGTTTTTGTTTTGAAAAAAACATTTTTTTAGCAGCAACTACTACCGCTGCCCTGATTTTTAGAGATAAATTAGAATTACGCGGTCGCTTTTGTACTAAAAAGGGTATTTGTGGAAGTGAAGTTAGAAAACCAGAATTATGCAGATGAGTCAAAAATTGTTCTTCTTGAGGACCTTCCTTGTGTCTGGGAAGGTGAGAAATGTCCTGCCACCAGAGTATAAATCAGGGGGCTAAAACATCTGCAGATCATCAATGAAGTTACTCATCCCCCTCGAAACAGAATAAATATTATATTATGAGTAACGGGTGAAAAATAAATACCACTGTCCAGAGGCTGGTATATTTGAGCAGGATTTAGAGGGTTGGTTTTTTTAGTCAGGCTAAACAGAACTTATCCCTTCCCCTCAGGGAAAAGGGTCATTCTGAGTTGTCCAGACTGTGGGACCTGGCACAATGATTGTAGCCCCTGGTGTTTAAAAACACAATCCCGTTGAGGACCAGCAGAGAAGAGACTGTCAGCGGGACAGCGTTACAAGGAATGAGGACATAACTCAGACTGCCCGTCTTGTGAAGCAATTATTCCAAAGTTCAATTATTCATCTCGTGTTTTCTCCCTATTAATAACATTGCTCCCACAAAGGTTTGTGTCAGAAAAAAACTTTCACAATTTCCCTTCTGCCAAGAAAAAAACAAGCTTCCCAGGAGTGACTTTCCTAGAGACAAAAAGGATCCTGGAATTGACCTAAAGATTCGAGTCATCTTCAAGATTTCTCCCCAACACCGCTTTTTACCCCATTCTCCATAGATCACTTTGGAGGGCTCCGCTACAGGATTACCACGAGGAGCAAATTCGTAGATGCTCTTGGGACTGAAACACAGGGAATTTTGGAAACCCGTACCCTCGCTGGAAGGACGCAAATCCAAAAAAAAGCGTTCAAGACGTCCGTGCGGCACTTCCAGACTGCTGTAACTGCATCTCCGTGGAGGTTACAACGGCAAAAGAAATGACGTTCCGAGGTACTGGTACGAAACGCATACAGAAATCACAGCCCAGTAAATCTGATCGGCACATGTGAAACGCATCACAGATGGCCAACGGGCCGTACAGCCTCTGCTGTAGCATTTAAAAGTAAAAAGGGGTTAAACTGAATTCAACAGCAATATGCACAGGGAAAGTCAGTCAGCACGCTCGCCGGGACAGCGATGACAACCGTGAGACTCCACAGACAAAGCGGGGAAGCATCTGTTTATCGAATGGATAAAAAATTGTTCAAACGGACAAAATACACGCAGCCGGCAAATGAACGGTAAGGCTGCAGGAAGGAGCCCTGGGAAGGGGAGATAACTGCTAAGTGAGGGCCTTCAGTGCTTCTGGGGAAACTCACCCGTGTTTACGCAGTACGAACGTCGCGGGTGAACCCGCGTTCCCAAGCCCACGTGCTCCTAAGGCAGCAACGGCGAAATCGAAGGTGCCCTCTGGCCAGACCTCCTCCCGAAAGGAGAAGCGGCTGGATTCTCACCTGCCTCTTGAGCCACAGTCACCCACACGTCCCCAGATCGTGTCGGCTGGTCCCTCTGGGCGCCCCTTGCAGCATGAGCTCTTGGTAGCTGGCCTTTCACCTTTGGGATGGACAGCAAGCTGCAGATGCATGGCTGGTTTTGCACAGGTACCGTGCGATTCCCTGTCGGGGCTGCCCACCAGCGCCTGCCGACCCTGCCTCCGCGGTGCCCAGGTAGAGGCTGCAGGCTAACCCAAGGCGATCCGCAGCCAAGGGCCGAGCTCCCCAACGACATGGCAGGGGGTAAACCAATTGCCCAGCAAAGCCTCACCCATCATCACAGTCTCCCCAGAGCAGCTCCCAGACCTGCCAGCCTAAGTGGTCCCTTCTGGCTTTCCGCTGCAGGAGGACCGGGAGGGATGGCTGCTGCTGGGTCGAAGCCCCGGGAGACACGGGAAACCTGGACTCTGTCCTTCTCCCTGTTTTTATCCCTGGGTGACCCAGACGGAGGTTGCTTTCTGTGTTTCAGGTCCTGCCTGTAGTGACCTCCTTTGATATTTTTCGATGAAAAGCTCTACATGAGAACAGTATTACCTTGATTACCACCTCCTTGTTTCTTTCTCTTAGAATCTATGGCGTCTTTGATCGCTTTTTTAAATTACCAAGATACTTCAACAGAAATAATTTAAGAGCAAGGGAACTGAGCGAGGAAGGTTACAGAAGTTTCTTTGCTGACATTTCCCTGCCTCTACTCACTCACAGCAAACTCCTCTCTGCTTACACCAAGTGCTTCACTTGACTCTCCTTGGGTTTTGGGGACCACATAGCCTCAAGGACCTTCAGTTTTGGCCTCGATGAAACTACTTACGTTTCTGTGTCTGACTTGCACGGGGGAAAGTGCAGTCTCTTAATTAGTATTCTCCAGTGAAGGAGCATTGAGTAATTCAGAATTTAATGATTAATGCCGTCAGCTGCTCTACTGTTCACATCCCTGGAAATGAAACAGCTTTGTAGATACTCTTGAAAAAAATAGTTGACTGCTGGTCTAGTGCCCATCCACGGGTATAAATCACTAGATGAAATGGCAAGGAGCGAGTCGTGCTCTTTTGGTGACACCTCCGCGTGCCGTTAGTCTTTACCACAAGCTGAGGGCAATATTAGATTAAAACCAACGTAAACTGATACGTGGGAGAAGCGCGCGCGTGATGACTGTATGCTATAGAAACGGCTCCCTAACCAGCAATCTTGACAGACAACAAGGTCAGTTATAAGCCTGACAAAACCAAATATCAAGAATTAGGGTTGTGAAGACGGGTGGCTTTGAAGGAGAAAGAGCTGCCATAGCCTCTTCAGTCTCATGATGAAGAGAGGGCCTGGGCATTCTCGAAGCCCACGGCGTAAGGAGAGGCAAGAACGACGACTCCCAAACTCCTAAGAAAAAGCCACCACCTACTGAACAGGCCGTTTGTCCATAAAGAACATCCCTCGGTGCTCACCGCAACGTTGAAACGCCAGGAAATAAAGCAGAGATTTTCTTCCGAACTGGGCTACGCGATTGCCACAGAATTCAAAGGTTTCAAGTGAGAACCTCCTCCTCCTCCTCCTCCTCCAGCTGCACACCCACAGCCCAGGCAGGTCAGCAGCGAGCCCCCGGGAAAGCCACTGAGCAGAGGCAGAAGAATTGGCAGGAGCCATGCTGAACGTGGGCTTCTCTGGCAACCTTTTCATGAAGAGAATTTTTAAAAGCTCGATACTCTTCTCCGTCTGTCACCTCTCCCTGTATTTATTTCTGCACTGAC